TACGGCTCACATACTTTACAATGGCAAACTGCTAATCTGCAGTACGGCTCACATACTTTACAATGGCAAACTGCTAATCTGCAGTACGGCTCACATACTTTACAATGGCAAACTGCTAATCTGCAGTACGGCTCACATACTTTACAATGGCAAACTGCTAATCTGCAGTACGTCTTGGTTCTTGGTGGCAGTGGAAAAGTGCCATAAGAAGTTATACAGAATCTCTGTACTTAACCCGAGTTGTTCCAGGTAATATTTAGCAGGACATACTGGGCCTAGCGAAAGCCAATATAGTCACGATGGCCTTAACTGGTCCACATCATAAATCCAGAACACCATCGAGTCAGTGTTGCACAGCCTAACAGTAAAGGAGAAGGCAGTGAGGTGGACAGGGATCTGGCCCGATCACCAAAGGCTGCGGGTCCCACGAGAGGCCCCAGGCTTTGGGTACTTACCCCAAATTACAGCTCAACAGCCAGCAGCTTTAAGGGAAAGCTGTGGAGGGCTCTCCCAGGAAAGACGTCTGCTAAGCAGTGTCACGTGCGACTCGGGTGGATGTACTGAGCACTGATTGGGCCATGTGACCCAGAGACAGTATGGAGTGAGAATCATCTCCTCCCAGAGCCCCAGGAGGCTCTGAACCAGGCCGAGAACGGCAGGGACACCAGACTGCATTAGTGTGTCAGGATAAATCAAGTCTGGCTTCCCGGGGAATGACACAGTTTTTAAATTTAACAAATATTTTAAAATGGGGCGCTCATCAAAAGCCCAGAACATTTCCCAGAAGGCCTTTGGGCAGTCTGGGCTTTTGCTGCCTCACCACCCCTCAGCAGCTGGTGCCCCTCCCCCTCATCTGCTGTGCTCTGATTGGCCCGTGCCAAAGGTGACGCCCATGCTTTCGAAAGTATGAAATATTAGGCTCAACCTGGCACCATTGTGGGGGGCTCTTTTTGTAGAAAAAGACAGAGACGCGAAGAGATTCAGACGAACTGGCTGAAGACGCAGCGGTGAAGACCATCCCCACAAATGGCAGCTGATGCACTGGGGTTTAGGGTCTCTGATGTCAGAGAAACCAGTTGCAGCCACCAGCCAGATCTGTGCAGATAAAAAGATCTACCAACATGAAATCGACGCCTCCACATTTACAATTTCAGTTTAAAAGGAAGGAGAAAAGGGTCTCCCAGTGTTCCCAGGCAGGGGAAGCTATGTGAAGATGGAGGGATGACTGCTGAACCTCTGTATGCTGTGAAAAGACAACACTTTAGATGCATGTTAATTTCAGAGATTTTTGTTTTCAATTGCCAGCTCAGCCCATCACGGGATAAGTGGCCAAGGAAGATGGGTGGATGTTTTTAATTGTCACGGCTGCTGCAGAAATGGCTTTTACTGCACAGTTAAATATTAAAAGAATGGTTTATCACAACAGGGCCTAATGGGCTGAAGTATTACATAGCACGCATGTAATGGATAATTCGCAATTAATCTGCTGTACTCCTGGCTGTTGTAAAGCATTCACTCGAGGAATCGACAGGAAAGTGATTTTAGCGGACGCCAAATGAGTTTCAATCTGACCGCCGCTGATTGAATATTGACAGCGCTTTGTCTGGATCGCTGTTGGCTGGTGCATTGGCCTTTTCCCTGGATGAATAGATAAAAAGCATCATGAATGTAGTAATATATAACATTTTAGAAAATGACTCTGTTTTCCAGGCTGAAAGGCCGGCTCTCCTTGCTTTCACCACCGGGGACACTGCCTATAACTTTTCCCACAGCACACACTCAGATCATGCCTGCATGATGCATTAGTCTGGCCAGACGTCTCTCCATCCTGAGGCTCTAGGGGCTAAAGCCCTGAATGCATCCCAACGAGCCCCCAGTGATTTAGCTCAGATGTTTTAAGCAGCATGCTCTCTGTTTGAGAGCCCTCAGAGCGATTAGGGCTCTGGGCTAAGCCTCGGATGTCTCAGGAGCCTAGCAACACTGCTGGGTCTGACCGGTCTGCAGGACCCGTATTCCAGCTCCTCAGCCCCCTGTTGCTCCGTGTTCACTTCTGCAGCGTGGCTACGCTTGATAAATAATGTTATAAAAAATACATCATGCATGTGTCACGTAGCGTATTCCCCTACCTCGGGGCCTTTCCGTCTCCCCCTCCATGATGGATAGACATTGCGCCCAGCGCCGTCGCCCACACTTTCTGCAGTAATTAATTAATTCACTGCCAGGCAGCCAGAGCTAGCCGCTGTTTGATGGTGGTTATAATATTTCTTTTGTAATTCGGTGTTCAATAAATAAATAGCAGGAATTATAGACCCTGGTATTACCACTATGACCAATCTAAAACGGTCATAATGCGTCTGTTAATTGCACTTTATAATTAGTTAGGGGCCTTTCGGGACGGAAACCTTCATCCGTTTCTTATTGATTTCGATTACATTTTGAGCCGTGGAAGTATTGTGTGATTTGCTATGCTGAAAAATAAAGCAAACAGGTGAAAATTTCGACACAAAACAAGACAACAGCATGACTGACAAATCGCACTGATATTTTAAAGATATAATGTGCAACATGCAGAGTAATTGTGTGTGTGGCATCTGGATTTTAAAGAACACAAAAATGGAAAATAAATTAGATTTTAAGGCATAATTAAAGCCGTTAATTCTAGCTATTAATGGTACCGCATCCATCCATCCATCGTAAATAAAGCAAAACATAATTCATACTGTAACTGTAATATCTGCAATGTGTAGCGTGATCAGCCTCTCAGACAGCCGGAGTCGGGCGCGCGGCTACCTGTGCTCTGCCACGCTGTTGTTCTTGGCACTGTCCCAGTCGGGCAGGGTGCTGGCACACAGTATGACCATGGACACGATCACAAAGATCACGGAGACCGAGGCGAGGATCTGAGCAGCCACGGAGGACATGGGCTCCTCGAAAGTCCTCCTCATCCTCTCCAGCCACCTGGCGCCCCCTCCCACGGTCTCCAGGTCCTCCTCGGGCTTGATGTCCTCCTCCGAGAAGTAGGTGAAGGAGTCCGACATCCTGTCATCCAGCCGTCGCTGGCAGCAGTACTCCAGGTGGGAGCTCTCCAGCCCCCAGTAGACCATCTCATTGTAGAAGGAGAGCTCGCACATCCGCGGGACGAAGCGCAGCTTGCCGGACTTCACGTAGAGCATAATGAAGACGAACGCCTCCGAGTGCCGGTCAAAAAAGAACTCGTTGCTCTCCCGGTCGTAGTCGTCACACACCTCCAGCACCTCTTTCTCGGAGGCGCAGCTGTGCAGGCGGCTCACTCGCTGGAGGGGAAAGTCCTTTATCACGTCCCTGGGGAATGCGTACTTGGTGCCGCCGACGTTCAAGATGCAAATACTCTTTCCAAACTTCATCTTGCAGCAGTCACTCTCTTACGGTTCCGCTGCTCTGCCTTTTTATTCCTGAGGGTGGGAAGGGGGGTTTTCCAGTAAGTAAGTATGCGCAATCATCGTATAGTCCAAGTGCAGTTTCAGGGGATGGTGCGGATTTCAAGTGGAGACGGGACTGAAAAGTAATTCATCTTTTGCTTCTCTTGCACATACACCCCGAACGAGAGCGCGGACGCGCGCAGCAGGCGTGTCTGCGCCGGGGCTGAGGACTGCCTGGTGGCTCCGCTCCGCCGCCCGGGGAGGGCAGTCCCAGTCGTGATGTCACCGACAAGCCCGCCCTCTGACTCCGGGAGACCCGCTAACATTATTTTCTTTTGTCTAAATCCAGTAGTTTCGATTGTAATATTATTTAACTTTAAGTTTTACGGGGTATTATTTTTGTTTATTGTTTAACTACTGTATATTGTGCCTAAACTAGAGATTTTATAGGCAAGTGTTATAAATTCTGAGTTTTAACTAGTGTACATAACAAAGACACAGCCTGTGGGCACGGGCCGTCATGAACGTGTGCCACGTTGGTTAGGAATCACACACCTGCTGCTGCTTTATTGCACCAGTGGTTTGATAGGAGGGCTTTTATTTGTACGTCAACAAGCCTGCAATAACAACGGATCTACTGTTAATGCACCAGCAGGCATCTATACATCAGTCCAGCAACTGCAGGCGTAGGAGCAGGAACTTTTTAAGCGTGTGTGGGACTCCCTCAGATAGGCAAAGTAGGCAAGCTCTACACTCAGCCATGCTATAGTGCCGGTCTCGTACTTTGTACAGGTTTGTGATGCTGTGGACTCAATATGACATGCAGAGCATCAAAAATGCTGATCTTCACTAGAGGAGAGAGCTAAGGAGCATGCACTGATCGCAGTGCGTAAGGAGCATGCACTGATCACAGCGCGTAAGGAGCATGCACTGATCACAGCGCGTAAGGAGCATGCACTGATCACAGCGCGTAAGGAGCATGCACTTATCACAGCGCGTAAGGAGCATGCACTGATTACAGTGTGTAGCTGTACCAACCAAACAACAAACCACCTCAGAGATGAGAACCTGAGTGCAGCTGTGTGGCAGGTGATACCTCAGCACCACACCAGTCCGAATGGACCAGTGTGAGGTTTTTCCAGTGGCTGGAGTGCCAATCCTGCCACCAACCCCCAAGTTATTCCCTGTAAGCTGGAGGACCTCCTTATAGGGCTGGATGTAGATTAACACCATACCCAGGATGAAGCAATTGCAGGTTATGGGCCTCGCTCAAGGGCCCAACAGAGTAGAATCACTTTGGGCATTAACAGGATTTTAACACATCCGTAGCCTCAGATCCAGCACTCCGTCCCTATATCTTCACTAGATGTCCCTTTAAATAAAGAAAGATGAGGTTACAGCTAACCATATGGCCATAATACCAGACAGGATTTCACTGAACACATGTCCTTAAAGCGCTTTTTGAATTTGGGAGAATGACAGGATCTGAGCTGGAATGAGCAGTGGGAAATGGATGGATGGATGGATGGATGGATGGGAGAAGATCACATTTCAGAGCTCTGCAGCTGGAAATGTTGGGAGCCAACGCTAGGACGAAATCCCAGATATTACAGATGTGTGCTTGTGTGGAAAAATAATTAAATACAGTATCTTTTTCGCTTTTATGTCAATTGAAACTGCTGCTTCACCCCTCTAACTTCAGCCAGCAGCAGTATTATGTAGCTGCATCTCACCCTCAGGTTAGCCGTGGGTGACTTAACTGCTAAAGTTAGCCCTAACCAGACAGCGGAGCAGAGGAGCAACAGCTTCCTGTCCAGCTTTTATCCGGGCTGCATGTGTCTGTGCGCAGCGCCTCCCTCCCGGGTCCCCTCCCCTTCCCTCCACCCCCCTCACCAGGAAGCGGATACCGGCTGATCGCAGCCTCTCGGAGTCTGGCTCGCTGCATTGTACCGTGAAAGCTGGGAGGGGGGATCCTGAAGCACCAGCCCGGTTCTCCCCCTTGGCGAAAACGCACACCTTATAAAATATTCGCGTATTTAAACGATTTCTCAGATAAGCTCTGCTTATCGCGCTATTTATTTATGACCGTCTCTTTTTAACACTACAGGAGGGCAGAAATGGCGGCCAACATGTACCGGGTCGGAGGTATGTCGGCCCCGATGTGGGGATTGCGGACCGCTTTTAACGTGCGCTGGCGCGGATGGGGGCCCCGGCCGGCTTTCGGCGGGTGCGCCGGTCGGTAGTGGCGGCGGGGGAAGCGAGCCTCTGGCCCGTCGTGGGCTGCGGCTCTGCGGTGGCGGGGCGCTTCGGGCCTGGGCACAGTGCTGCCCTGGCTGCCGCTCGCCGAGCTCTCCGTGCGCCTCTGCCCGCCGGAGCCCTCCGCCGATCGTGTCCTCCGACGCCTCTTTGTATCCTGGCGCTTTTGTGTGTGGATCCGCGGCGCCTGGTTGATCGTGGGCGTCCCGGACGGTCCGTGTACCGACACCTGCAGAGACAGGGCCACGCTTCCCCTGTGCGGCGGTAACGGCCTGCAGGCGGCATAAAGCGGCTCCCGAGAGGCAGAAGAACCGCAGATAGCCGGGAGAGTTTGGGATAAAGCCCCGCAGATGGAGGGACGGCGGGCTTTAATGCTGTAGAGGCACCGAGCTTTGTGATCCGTAGGGGCTGGAGCTGTTAATGTCGGATAGGAATATGTTTATAAATATATTTATACACCTGATCGTCCGGCTTAATCCCGCTGATCCGTGACCCACCCACCCCCCCCATCTGTCCCGTTTGTTTTTAAAACATAATTAGTGACGCCAGGGGTTACTGTATCACTGCAGGGTAATGTACCATGATACTGTATCACTGCAGGGTTATGTATCACGATACTGTATCACTGCAGTTTGATGTATCGTGGTACTGTACCATTGCAGGGTGATGTTGGCTGGTATCACGTGTGGCAGGCTTTGGTTATGGTTATGGTTATGGCTTTGGGTATGGTTATGGGTATGGTTATGTTAAAACCACGCGGGTTGGGGTTATCCCTTGCGGGCGTTCGGGTCGCTCAGCTGTGTCGTGGGCCGCCAAGCTCCTGCGACAGCCTGCCCTTTAGGTGATGTTTCGCGAGCCTGAGGTGCTCCTGAATGATGTTTGACTAAGCACAGAAATAAGTGGACTCATTTTGCCTGAATTCGTAGGGTGACTGCGGAAAGGCAGCTGGGGCAGGGGGCACCAGTGCCTGTTATGGACACACCGCTGCCTCTCATGAATAAATGCTGCTGCGACCATCTCGCTGTTTTTGTTTGCTGTCATTTATGAAGTAATACAGTGTGTTATTGCTGTTGTACTTGCGAATCCTCCTTTCGCTTAGGCTGGCTTCGGTGTTTCTGAAGGCCCTGTGTGTGTCTCCTTGCAGATTACGTCTTCTTCGAGAATTCCTCCAGTAACCCATACCTGATCCGGCGGATAGAGGAGCTGAATAAGGTAAGGCCCCCCCCCCGGGGGGTGGCGTGTACCGGGGTGCTTCCTTACATCCCCACAGCTGACCCAGGGCCATAGGTCACCGCTTCTAGGTTGCCTGGGCTCCGTTAGGGATTTCGTGCTGTGGATGAAGCGGCGTGATCAGCCATTTTCTGTAGTGGAGGATGAGGGACTTTGTCACACATTTACTGCTTAGAACCTCGCTATGGTCTCCCAGGTCAGTTCTGCTTCACTGATGTTTCAGAACCTCGCTGTGGTGTCCCAGGTCGGTTCTGCTTCACTGATGTTTCAGAACCTCGCTGTGGTCTCCCAGGTCGGTTCTGCTTCACTGATGTTTCAGAACCTCGCTATGGTCTCCCAGGTCGGTTCTGCTTCACTGATGTTTCAGAACCTCGCTATGGTCTCCCAGGTCGGTTCTGCTTCACTGATGTTTCAGAACCTCGCTATGGTCTCCCAGGTCGGTTCTGCTTCACTGATGTTTCAGAACCTCGCTATGGTCTCCCAGGTTGGTTCTGCTTCACTGATATTTCACTTCAGGTCTGTCGAGCTCAGAGTTTAGCCACGTCTTGGATATATTCAACAAAAAAATATCGATAATATATAAATATATCAGCAAATACTGCCACCTTGTGCTCCTTGTGACAATGCTAAAATAACTTTTGAAAAAAGCGTTTTGGACAGTACTGGCTCTGCAAAGGCCGGTGGTCTGTTGATTGTGGTCCTGCCACGGATATGATGTGTAACTCGCCGCTGACGACATCTTAGCTGGAGACTCTGAGCTGCTTTTTTTTGGGGGGGGTGGGAGATGATGCCGGGTGAGCGGTGCAGTTGTGCTCCCCAGGGTCCGCATCCACGCGGTAACCTGATACGCAGACAGGTGTTGGGTGGCCACCTCGCCCGCGGTTACCATGGCTACGGGCCGCTGAGACCACGCCTGAGCATCATTGTGTCTTCTCTCAGTGAGCTCAGTTTGCAGGTCTGGCCTGTACATTCATGTCCTCCATGCTGATGGTGAATTCAGTCAGATGTACTGTGGGCCGTGACGCTGTCCTGTGTTCTGATTGGAGCAGCCTGGGTCACATGTGCAGCCTGTCAAACGCTGCATGCGCAGGTTATCAGTGAGTCGTGGCTTCGCATCTGCCGGTTTCTGTGGGCTGGATGGAAGCTGATAAGCATTTGAGGATGAAGCCCTGCTGGCTGCTTTGGATGCGCAGTCCGATGGATCGTTTTAGTGCTTTGAAGACCGGGAAGTGAAACTGGTTCCTACAGGAATGTCTGTGCACTGTGATGTCGCTGAATGTCGCTGACCTCAGACGGGATGCCAATCCCACACTCTCTGGGAGAGCGTGTGTGCTGGGAATGTTGCAGGTTCTGGCCGTGACCCGTGTGCTTTGTTTCAGACGGCCAGTGGGAACGTCGAGGCGAAGGTGGTCTGCTTCTACAGGCGGAGGGACATCTCACACAGCCTGATCCAGCTGGCAGACAAGCATGCAAGTGGGTGGTGTGTGTGTGGGGATGGGGGGGCGTGTCCCCCATGTCTCTGACCCGCGCTTTCCCTGTCCAGAGGACCTGGAGGAAGAGAAGGCGAGCTCGAGTGACCCGGAGCTCAGTGACAAGCAGAAGCACCAGCTACGTCACCGCGAGCTCTTCCTGTCACGGCAGTACGAGTCGCTGCCAGCGACTCACATCAGGTACACGCACACGCATGTGTACACATACACGCCGGGGGTGGTTGAGGCCCCTAGTCATGTGATCCCAACCCACCTCCTTCCCTTACTCCTGCAGGGGGAAGTGCAGTGTGGCTCTCCTGAATGAGACTGAATCTGTGCTCTCCTACTTGGACAGGGAGGTGCGTCGACCTCGGGGCTTGGGGGGTGAGGGGGTTGGTTGGGGTTGCTCCGAGTGGATCGTAGCTCTAGGCTGACCAATGGCAGTGCAGCGTTTTGGTGTGACATGCCCCCTCCCCCCCCCAACAGGACTCATTCTTCTACTCACTGGTATACGACCCTACGCAGAAAACCCTGCTGGCCGACAAGGGTGAGATCCGTGTGGGGCCTCGCTTCCAGGCCGACGTGCCCGACATGCTGCAGGACGGTGAGTGTGCACGTGGGTGCCCCCCCCATAGAGGAGACTGGCTCCTCCTCTCTCCATGCTCCTCCTCCTCACACTCACTGTCTCGCCTCTCATTCCCTGATGCCTCTACTCTCCCTCCCTTGTCTGTCGGAGTCTTGGGGCCCATAGCTGGGGGGGATGGGACCTCCACAGGTTAGCCAATCAGCACAGTCAGTCACATCGACGGCTGTACTGGAAGTTTGGGGGAGTCCCGGCGACTGCGGGCAAGTCCTGCGTGGTTGCCCGGAGACGGTCTCCGTGGTGATAAAGATGAAGTGGCGCGATTAGCTGTGCTCCACACCACCGTGATTTTCCCGCCAACTTCACGGTGGGACTGTGTCCGCATCCATCTGTCACATCTGTCGCCATAAACTGTGAATAATCAGTGACCCCCACCAGTGGTGCCGAGGGCCTCTTGGGGCTTTGTCCTCACTTACCCTCCTCTTTGTGCCATGACATAGACTAGCATTTCCCTCAGTCCATCAGTGATGCTGTTTATTCTTTATAAGGAGGATGTACGACTCCCCCCCCCATGCTCCTTTTATGGTACTGCCCAGAGCTTTCCACTTCTGCTGTGGGAAAATGGTCTACTCCAGCAGTAATGGCTGCATGTGGCGGTGAAGCGGTCAGCTCACTCTCCCCCCCCCCCATCCTCCTGTCCCCGGCAGGCGAGCCAGACGACCGGGATCAGTCCAAACTGGAGGTGAAAATGTGGGACCCCCAGTGCCCGCTGACCAACAAGCAGATCGACCAGTTCCTGGTTGTTGCTCGGTATGGCTGACTCTCACTTCTGCTCCATTACCTGACATGCAAAGGCGTGCATTTCTGACGTGCTGGATCTATCCCTCGGGGCCGGGTTTGGCTCTGTGAGGGAGGGAGGGGTTTCTCCTTTCAGTTTAAACACGCCTGCTGACAATTCTTGTGATGATGATGATGATGAATGTGACTGTGATGATGGTGAAGTTGGTTGTGATGGCTATGAGGTTGATGATGAAGGTATTTATGATGATGAAAACTGACTGGATTTGATGATGATGATGACGACGATGATGACAGTGATGATTAGGAAGGTGGTTGTGATGGCTGTGGTGGTGATGAAGATGGTTGTAATGGCTGTGATGGTCGTGATGACTGGTGATGACTACTGATGAAGGTTGTGATGACAACTGGTGATGGTGACTACTGGTTATGATGTTGGTGAGGAAGGTGGTTACGATAACGGTAATGACTGAAGAAGGTTGTGATGTTGACTGATTCTTATGATGATGGTGATGAAGGTGGTTGTGACTGATGATGATGACTGTGTTGACTGGTGGTGATGATGACTGATGACAGTAGTGGTGATGATGACGGTGATGATGACTGATGACAGTGATGGTGATGATGATGATGATGACGGTGATGGTCATGATCGCCGGCGCAGGTCGACCGTCTGGCTCCTTCGGGGCATCACGTGACCCTCCCACCCTGTCACCCCCTCCCCCCACAGTGCGGTGGGCACCTTTGCCCGTGCCCTGGACTGCAGCAGCTCTGTCCGGCAGCCCAGCCTGCACATGAGTGCCGCTGCCGCCTCCCGCGACATCACCCTGGTGAGCCCGCCCCCTCCTTTCTGATTGGCGGCCCTCGGGCTGGGAAAGCCATTTGTGACGCGTGCTGCCTCTTCATGTCTCTCGGGACAGTTCCACGCCATGGACACGCTACACCGGCACGGCTACAGCCTGTCTGGGGCCATCAGCGTGTTGGTGCCGCAGGGCGGCCCTGTGCTCTGCCGCGATGAGATGGAGGAATGGAGCGCTTCGGAGGCTGGCCTCTTCGAGGAGGCGCTCGAGAAGTACGGCAAGGACTTCAGTGACATCCGGCAGGACTTTGTGAGTCGGGGTGCTCCGGGGTGGACTCCCCCCCATGTTGCTAGGATAGGAGTAGGTTCTATGGTCTTGGTGACTGATCTGTCTTGAGTGTGCTCTCTGTAACGGGAGTGTCCAGAGGGGCGGCGCTCTAGTGCCTCTTTGCTATGTGGTGGCTCTGTAGTGAGGCCCCCTGCTCGGCCCACGAGTCACCGCCCTGCCCTCTCACTGCAGCTGCCCTGGAAGTCGCTGACCAGCATCATTGAGTATTACTACATGTGGAAGACGACGGACCGATACGTGCAGCAGGTGAGGGCCGCACAACGGGGGTGGGGGAGGGGACAGGGTTGGATGGGGTGGACGGGGATCACGTCATGTCACGCCTGGACACCACAGGACACTGTGTTAGATGCACCTATAGAGGGCGCTGTTTCTGTTGGGCTGGATGGGGCAGCTAGTGAAACGCTTAATGCTGTTCTGTGTTCGTTAGAAACGGCTGAAGGCAGCGGAGGCTGAGAGCAAACTGAAGCAAGTGTACATCCCTACCTAGTAAGTGTGCCTGCCTGCCCCTCCCTGTCTGCCTCTCTGCCTGTGTCACTGGTGTCTCTCTCTGTACCTGTCTCTCTGCCTGTGTCCTTGGTGTCTCTCTCTGTACCTGTCTCTCTGCCTGCCTGTCTCTCTGCCTGTGTCCTTGGTGTCTCTCTCTCTGTACTTGTCTCTCTGCCTGCCTGCCAGTCTCTCTGCCTGTGTCCTTGGTGTCTCTCTCTGTACCTGTCTCTCTGCCTGCCTGCCTGTCTCTCTGCCTGTGTCCTTGGTGTCTCTCTCTGTACCTGTCTCTCTGTCTGTGTCCTTGGTGTCTCTCTCTGTACCTGTCTCTCTGTCTGCCTGCCTGTCTCTCTGCCTGTGTCCTTGGTGTCTCTCTCTGTACCTGTCTCTCTGTCTCTCTCTCTGCCTGTCTTTGTGTGTTCGTCTGTCTATTCTTTTCTGCATTGTTGTCCTGAATGTTTGTCGGGTGGTTAATATTCTCGCCTTGGATGAGTCACGTGTGACACATGTGTCGTGTTTGTGCCCTGCTGGGCCCTCAGTATGTACAGTATTTCCATTCTTGTTATGTAGAAAACACAAAACGGCCATTATAACGATTAGCCAGCCCAGAAACCATGCGATTGTATGTGAAAGTCAGTCCCCCTTACAGAAAATGGGACGTATTTGCACTACCTTCTCTGTAACTCATTCTTTTCATGAGATTTTTTTCATGTGGCCATTAAAAGCATTGAAACCCCCCTTTTCACTCTCTCTGCAAGACTCTAAATAGTCTGAACTTCCCAAACTATATGTCTTGTGCTGCGGAGTTAGAGGGTCCGTCCCCTGGATATGGTGGAGGCCGTGATGTCATTGATGTGGAAGTTGTTAAAGGACTGAAATCGTGTGGCTGAATGGATTGCAGACAAATTATTTATTTAAAACCCTGTGCCTGTTTACTGCTCTGAGAACTTGCCCTATAGCTGCTCTTCAGCCCAATGTCCTTCTGTGTCTCTCCCTGTGCTGCCTTCCCTCTTTCTGCCCTGTAGCAACAAGCCCAACCCCAACCAGATCTCCGTCAGTAATGGCAAGATGAGCGCGGTGAACGGTGCTGCCGGACTGCCGGGGCACCAGGCGACCAGCGGAGGGCGAGCTTGCGAGAGCTGCTACTGTGAGTACGCTGGGAAGCACTGGAAGTGAGGGCAACTGTGTTCAGTGGTCCTTAGTCTGGGCTGCTATGGTGCAGCCCTGAGGATTCCTGTCCTGTCGGTGTCTTTAGTGCGCTGGATGGACTGAGGAAGCACCCAGACCTGCTTTATGTCTGCTTTGTGAGTGACTGTGCTGGTAGTCACCACCAGTTTGTCAATCTAACTAATCGTTGTTCCGTACCACTGGGTGGCGCTGTGGAGCTCGGTGTATGATGGGGGCCTATGTTACAGCCCGTGCCTGCCCAGGGCTGGTGGTGAGCCTCATTTTGCTGGGGGGGTGCCGGCCATCTTGCCGCCTTAATAAGCTTCTTATAACAGCCACCTGTGGCGTCTGATTTTTGCTAATGGAATGAAAACAGCATCAACATGGAGATCCAGTGCTGCTTCCGGCATGTTGCCCTCAAACCCTCCACCTTCCATGGAATCATTTCATGTCCATTTTGAGTCACGTGATCTGGCAGCTCACTCTGCCCGCCCGCCCCCCCATGCAGCCATGCAGTCGGCGCAGTGGTACTCGTGGGGCCCCCCCAACATGCAGTGCCGGCTCTGCGTATCCTGTTGGATGTACTGGAAGAAGTACGGGGGGCTGAAGATGCCCAGCCGAGCAGATGGAGAGGAGAAGGCCCCGTCCAGCCCCTCCCCCAATGTGAGTACCCACCGCCCCTGCCAGCCTCTGACTGACATCAGGTGCATTTTTGCCATATTAAAACACAACTCAATTTGTGCCACCATTTACTTTATTATGACAAGCTCTATTGATTTCAGCCCCCCCACAGAGCTGCACCTCCACGCCAGCGGGGCTCTAGCCAAGATGAAATGTGATGTGGGGTTTGGAGTGTGTGAATGCCCGGGGGGTGCTGTGACCCTGCTGCTGCATCACTGCGGCCCCCCCTGGCTCCTCCTGCCAGCGGTCCTCCTGCTCGGCTCTGTCGGGTCCTGCTTCGAAATGCCCGCGTGCTTCGCTCCGGAACGCGCCTGTGTTGTATCAGCCTGTGATCAGTTGTTCTGTGCAGTGCCTGTGTCGTATCAGCCTGTGATCAGGGGTTCTGTGCAGTGCCTGTGTCGTATCAGCCTGTGATCAGGGGTTCTGTGCAGTGNTGCAGTGCCTGTGTCGTATCAGCCTGTGATCAGGGGTTCTGTGCAGTGCCTGTGCCCCACGGGAGTCGCGCTCGCTGTGCGTGTGGCCTGCCGCTCCTGCACTCTCTCGCTCTCCCCATTCGGCCGAAGGGGCTGCACTGTAGAGGGACAAAGGAGGCCTACTTTGCAGTCTTCTGGAGCCCAATATACATGGCGCCGAGCTCTTACATAGCGATCGATCCCTGTACCTCCGGGGAAGGCACCTGTCCTCACTCGCCGCGTGACGCGCCTCTTCCGCTCCCTGTGCCCGCCCATATGCTGATGCCCGACCTCCATCTGTGCCCGCAGGAGCCCCGGTCCCGTGCTCACGGCCCCCGCCAGTCGGCTCACCTGGCCCCCATGCGCAACACGGGCAGCCCCAAGTCCTCGGTGAAGACCAAGCAGGCCTTCCTGCTGCAGGCCACACGGCTCACCAAGTTGGCGCGTCACATGTGCCGTGACATCATCAGGCTGCGCCGGGCCGCACGCCGCCCCTTTGTGCCCATTAACTGTGGCGCCATAAAGGCGGAGTGTAAGAGCTCTTTAAATTCCTAACCCCCCCATCTCGCTGCCATTCCCTCCTACGTGTCTTATGTTTTTTTATTGCTGTTATTATTATTATTATTATTATTATTATTGTTATTATATTTTTGGTTTTTGTATTTTTTTTCCTCACCCTCCCCAACTCCAATAAAGAATGCCTGCCCCGTGTTATCTTTGTGTTCATTTTACCCCCCACCCCCCCACCATACCTCACCCCAGAGGATTCATGCATGACACCCTTTATGTTTGGGCTCAGCTTCGGGGCTTTGGGTTCGCAGGCGGCGGGGGGGGCACTGCATAGTGTACACCAGGGTGGCAGTGTTTATTTTTGCCAATCGTCTGCCCTCGGTAATGACATGGGGGGGGGGGGGGGGTGTGTGTAACGCCTATATTTTTTAGATCAATCTGTACAGAAGTAGAATGATGTATTTTATCTACACTAATATGTATTTTGTGAGCTTCACTGGATTCAGACACAGTGACACACCTGTGTGTGTGTGTGTGTGTGTGTGTGTGTGTGTGTGTGAGAGTGAGAGAGAGCTCGTGCATGTCGCCTGTCAGTCTAGGGGTGTGTGTGTGCAGTCATGCACATGGGTGTCACCTGTCTTTCTGGGGGTGTGTGTGTCTAATCGCACTCATTAGCGCTTTGCTCTTGCACTCATCCGGATGGAATGCTGTAATTAAGTGTGAGGTTGCCTGCTGTCACGCTACACGCGTGGCTCTGAGTCACGCGCACAGGCAGCCGTGTGATGGTGAGGCCTTTGTCATTTAGGTTGCTGCAAATAAGTAGCTGGGTTTACTGTCAGATCCAAGTCCCTCCATAACAAGCAAACAGAGATGGGCTCCTCCGCATAGGAAAATGAAGCCTGGAACCTTATTGGAGGACGGACCTGTCCGTCATGCTCTGGTTAAATGTATTACCAGTTGGTTTCCCCCATGGCCTGGGATTTCTCCCTCAGCCGTGCTCCCTGTCCGCTGTTCCCTGATCCACCAGCTTCTCAATGAAATCCCTGCACTGTGATTGCTGAGCCAGACACCCCCTGACAGCAGGATAGGACACGCCCCGTGGCCTCAGGACCCCAATCTGTGACGGGGTGTCGCCTCGTGATGTCAGAGCGGCGGGGGTGTTCCCAGTGCGATTCTGGAACCTCGTGTGGTTTTGAGGTTCTGTGGTATCCAAATGACAGGACCATCCATTCATCTCCATCCCCACTTCTAGCTCCCCCCTTTTTCACTCCTCGCTGACATTCTGCCTTAAATGTGTGTGACCCCCCCCCCTTTGCCCGGTGGCCAGGAGGTGGCGCCCTCCTGACTGTCCGCGCCCTTTGTGTGACCCTCCTCTGGGCAAAAGAACCCCAAGATCAATAAAAGCACAGCTGAAAGTCTCCTTCCTTGTCGTCCTTGTCATTTCCTGTCCTTCGTGTGTCTTTCAGTCATGGTTCATGTTCCTCACCCTGGAGGCGGGGCTTATAGGCTCCGCCCCCACGCCGGCTGGGGCTCCACCCACTCATGCTGCCATTGCGTGGCGTCTCACTCGAACCTCCATTCCTCCTGCTCACAGACATCGGGGTCTCCCTGTGTACATGGCGTCGTCACGCAGAGCTGGGTCTGCTCTGCCCCCCAGCGTGAAATCTCACCTCCTCCTCCCTCCTCTTTATCCATGGCAGCCTCAGTACCCCTTGCCCCCCAGTCCAGGCTGCCCCCCCCCACTTAGATTAGTGTGCGATTCACTAGAATGGGCGGAGCCAAGTCCTCCGCTTTAACCATGAGCCAAAATCCTGGTCAGAAATGCACGTGCCGCTTTGGAGCGAAGCGCCAGCTGCGTAAATCCAAGGTAAATGACACTCGGGATCATGCCCCTGTAGCATGTTAGTGTACTAATCAGTCTGCTGTCCGGCTGTGTGTGAAGTCAGCGGGCGTTTTATAGACGGCATATGTGCTCCGTGGGGGGCACAGTAAAATCCAAGGGGGCGTCTTGCGTGTCTCTGTCCCACTTCGGGCTCATCATCTATCCATCACCTCGATCTGACGCCCACCCCCCCACCCGTATAGAGCCTCACCATCCCTGGGTTTTTGCTTTCGGCTGGGGAGGGGCTCGCCGGCGAGATGTGAGGGAGCCGCATCGGGCCACACGGGAGCGTTAGGGAATCCAGGTGCACGAGCATGGTGGTGGGGAAGGGCTCAGGAACTGGGAATTCAGGCCCATGGGGGGGGGGGAGTTGGGGGGGATTCAGGCCCACAGAGATGGAGGGGGGGGCTCGGGAAGCAGTCGCCGTAATCCAGGCCCATGGGGGGGGGTCGGGGATTCAGGCCCACAGAGATGGAGGGGGGGCTCGGGAAGCAGTCGCCGTCTGGCGGCTCTGGCTGGCAGGCGCGTGCTCTCCGGCGCCCCCTGACACTGTGGCTCTGCCTTGCAGACATGTCGCGGGCCTCTCAGGGACTGGGGGCACCGCCAGCGCAGCTGCGGAGCGTGCAGAGGAGCAGCCTCAGCAGCGTGCTGCGCTTCTTGGGTGAGTTGCACACACACACACACACACACACACGCCCCCCATGCTGCCCGGCGACCTCCACGGAAGGTTACTCCTCTCTGTCACACTTAGCAGCTCTGGGCTCGTCATCTATCCATCACCTCGTCATCTATCCGACTCCCTATGCACCCCCCCACCCCCTATAGACTACGCCCCCAGCACGCATGAGAGGCGCACCAACTGGACTTGCTGTCTGTTTCAGAGTCCCGCCCTGCCCCCAACATGACCCGGGCTCCCCGCACTCCTGGCCTCCAGGTCCCGCCCCCCCGGCGTCTGCTCTCCTCACTGCCTAGCCATGGGCCGCTAGGCATGCTGGGAAAGCGCGGATACCACCACCATAGCAGGCTGGAGAGCAGTGCAGAGAGGAGGGCAGCTGCGGGCCAAGGTAAGTCCCCGGGCAAATAAACACGCCGTGTGGCCACGCTGCTCCTGCCCCGGTGGCACCTCAGCACATCCCATAATGCACCGGGAGTCTCAGGCTCACCCGACCTCCTGCTTTTTTGCAGAGAACTCGAGTCACACAGTGGGAAGCCTGTTGGTGAGTTTCTCCAGTTGCCGTCCATGACAGAATCACCCCCCTGTTGAGGGTGACGGGGGAGGGGTTGTGGAGAGATGTATCTTTCAGGAGACTCACCCCCCCCTCCCCCCCCGCCCCCAGCACAACGGAAGCAGCAGCGGCAACGTGTTACGTAAGCGTCGGCCCAACTGGATCGACGCCCCNCCCCCCCCGCCCCCAGCACAACGGAAGCAGCAGCGGCAACGTGTTACGTAAGCGTCGGCCCAACTGGATCGACGCCCCTGACGACAGCTTCTTCCTCGTGTCCTGGGAGACCAGGTAGAGCCACTCAGTCTCCAAGGAGACTGGTAACTGACATGGTCTGCGACCTGCACAACTGCAAAACATTCAGTGCTGGGTCTAAGGTTGTTGCAGTGCATTGTGGGTACCGACCATCTGAGGATCAACGTGCTTTGATTGGCACCCGTGGTGATAATTAGTTTACGCAGCACAAAAGGGCTAATTAAATTTCGCACAAAGTTATGTGTTAGTCTCTTAATTAGTGGTGACAGCTTTTAATGGTGGAAGCGGAGCAGAGATATCTGAGTCGATTGGCCACGCTGAAGAAAACTGAGATGTTTGTTGTGTGCGTCACACTGCAACGGCCAGGAAGAAGGAGGAATTACAGCCCCTAAGTTTAGCCTGTGCACCAGCACGTGGTGTCCTGCGTATCCAGTCTGACAAACGCTATTCCAGCATTGCTAACATCGAGTCTTAAAAATGAGAAGCAGTGATTACATTTCGGTGGGATTCTCTGTGCCTGCTGGAGTCAGTCGATCTGGCGTCACCACTTTGAAGTTACTACAGACCAACTGTAACTCTGCAGCAAATGCAGGGAGATCTTCACAAATAAATTGCACATATAGGTACTGGCATGTGCCCAGTGACAGTATGTAAAAAAACCATCCATCCATCCATCCATCCATCCATACATCCATACACCCAGCTTCTAGCCTTTCGTCCTGGTCAGAGTCACACCCTGGACAGGATGCCTGTCCATCACAGGACACATACATACACACCGTCACACACCTCAAGGGCAAATCAGAGACACCAGGCAGCCTGACTGCATGTCTCTGGACTGCGGGAGGAAGCTGGAGAAGCCAGTGGAGGAGCCCCCTGCACAGGGAGATCATGCAGTATGGACAGTAATGCTGCATACTGCATAATGCAATTTATATAATACATCTTCCTGGATAGAAGGTGTATCTATATGTCTGTTCATCATTGTTGCAAGTTCAGCATCCAGGCAGAGCTGTCTGTAGCTTAGCAACAGTACAATTAAACTTCTGTGAATATATCCATGTTTCTAATAAAGATTCAAATGACCGTAATCTATCCACCTGCCTCATTCCACACTGGTGACCTGTTGAAATCCACACGATTGACATACATTATCTGAGTTAGACCTGCACTGTAATCCTGACCATCTGTACTGATTTATTTCGCATCTTGAAGACGTGCTTCCAGTCAAATCTTCCCCTGGAGAACATATGCAAACAGAAATGGATCATCACCCCCACCCCCCACCAAGGGAAGCTAGGTATCCTTGGAAACCACTGCTAATTATGGACTTTTAGAGGTATAACCCGGAGAGATATGACTTGATATATTCTTTTAGACACTGCAGCGCATATCCGGAGCCTGACCACTAATGGTCTCAGGGGGCATCATCAGCCTCCATGTTCAAACCGACACTTTTCCGCTGGGCTTCTCAGAGGTCACTGGCCATTTGTACCTGCATTCCCATCTGCATCATGACCATTTCAAATTTGGCACTCGCTGGGTCTAATCTGTTCGGGTCTAAAGTGATCAAGTCTAAAGTGATCGGGTCTAAACTTTAAGTCCACTGGGCATCACCTGGAGTCACAGAAAGCTGGAGCTACAGACCCTAGAGGCCGAAGGCTGCTAGAGCAGCTTGCTGGGTCTGTTCCTTATTCCCCAGCACCCAACACCATGTTTTCTGAAGTCCCAGGTAGCTGCTCCTGGTGTTTTAACCGTACAGACTCCCACAGGATGGTGCTTTACCCCCATCTCTCCCTCCGTGTCGCTATCAGACCCCTGTATCTTTCACCCACCCTATCTTCATGTCACTGTGTCCCCCCCCCATTATTAATGCTGCCTTGGGATGAGCCTCGGCATCCGGGCTCCACCAGCATAGATATTGCACTAAATATAGAGCAGCCATCTGAAGGATGTGGTGCTGAGATGAGAGGATCGGTCTGGTCAGGAGCTGGAAGGAGCTCATTTTACATCGGGGGGTGTGTGTGTCTGGGGGGTTATTTTCTCTGTGTGTATGGGTCACCCTCAGGGAAGCTCCCTCCCCCTGAATTAGAATTAGAATTATTAGAATAGAATTAGAATTTAGTGATCAGTGGTCATTGTCAACACACCACAGCACACAGTGCGCAACAACGAAATGTGACCTCTGCATTTGACCCATATGTGACTTTCGTGACATAGCAGGGGGCAGCTAATTAAGCGCCCGGGGAGCAGTGCTTGGGGACGGTACCTTGCTCAGGGTACCTCAGCCAGCTCGTCCCTCAGCCAGCTCGTCCCTCAGCCAGCTCGTACCTCAGCCAGCTCGTCCCACCCCCCAGAGCTTGGTCTTCTGCTTCATTCCAGTGCTTTCTCTCCCACCCCGCAGGAAGGCCCGGAAGCTGCTCTCTCGCTCCCAGCTAAGACGCGCCTGCAGGCAGCCGTGTGAGCAGATCTCCCTGCGAAGGGTGCCCCCTGCTCCACACCAGCCCCCCCCACACCTCAGCCTGAGGAACCGGGGCCCCATCGTCATTCATGACTGACCCCCCCCCCCACCCCCCTGGCCCTGTGCACCGGCGACGGAATCCGATGACCACCCCCAAAGATGTCCCGCACCCATGATGTCGTCGGTGCAAAAGCAAACTGCATACTCCGCAGTCCCCAGCAAGACGTTATCAGACAAACAGCGCCATCTGGTGTTGGAGGGCAGGCATGACAGCTCTGAGGTGCCCATTATAACTGCAGTTTCTTCCCCGTTTTAGAAAGACTCTAGGGGCTCGGTTTGTGCGCTGCTTTTTTGACGTCTTCAACCAACATTGTCACACACACTGACATACACAAGCAAGATCACAATGTATATTTAAGGGTTTTTACATTTGCTTTTTCTCAACTTCTTGTATTTTGTGTTTTGTCAGAAATGGATGAAAGGAGCACTGTTTCCGCGGTTGGTCAGTAAAGGGTCCTTCCCCTGTAGATGTGGTGTTAAAGGGCAGCGGGTCTCCCCCTCGCTGGCGTCTCGCTTCGCGGTCATTTTCCCGGCAGAGCTGCGAATAGTTTCGTCTGTCACCTCCGGTCCCTTTCTGACGCCGTTCTGGCCATCACCAGGGGACCAGTACACAGCCAGGCATATCTACGCAGGTATGCAGTGCAGTGCTGAAGCTAGAAACCTCCGTTAAACGAATCGTTCGGTTACGCAGCGCTAATGAACTCTGAGAGATCGCAGCTTTTCCGTGCGTCTCCGGGGCTTCCTTTATTGTACTGATCCATCCTACACCCCCGTATTTATGTTGTGTTTTCCTGTGCAACACGTTTGATGTGTAATATTCCCCAATAAAACATGCTGTGAGCTGTACGTTTGTGTTCCTGTTGCTGCGTAATTTGTCATCCTATGAAAGCTTGCAGCGGAAGTGAAACATATAACTTATAGCCTTTAACAGAATAGCTAAGGACTTTCAGTCGTGGTCTTTCATAAAAATAGATTGATGACATATTTTGATATTTAAGTTGCAGTTGCTCGGGTGGCCAGCAGAGGGAGACTCACTGCACGTATCCACTGTATATAACATATCTATACGCGTGGTGTGTTTTATTCAGGAAACTATGATAATTAATTATTAATTAGCTTGTTGAATTAATCTGACAGTTTAAATCATATAAAACCGAATCAGTCTGGGAAACTGACTAACATTTCATGTGAACTATGAAGGCCTTTATCAGCTGGAAAAGGGACGTTGTATAACGAATGATCAGTTATCCTAGAACAAAAGTCGTAACAGACAGTAAGCAGGGCCAAGCTTTAAAAAACACAACTACAGGGAACATTCCTGCTGTATTGAAATGGTTTATCCTGAATTTAAAAATGACAAAAATGTGCTCAAACTTAACAGACCGATTTGGTCAGAGAGCAGCGAAGCCTTTCACGGAGCCACGGCACTGGGTGACCAGTAGGAGGGGTCAGCTTTTTTCTGAGCCTCACAGGGGTTTCCCAGCAGGATGAACAGGGGCTCTTCACCCTTATGCCGCCATATTTACCTGCTGGGCCAGTTGCAGGCAGGACAGACAGCTAAGCATTGTGAGGTATGATGGAGAGGAAGAGGAGACTGGGAAAGGACACTGTTTGGATGGGTGAATGGGGAGCTGCTAAGGAACATGTCCCCCATAATGCCGAGGTGGCAGCAGTCAGTGGCAAACGAGCAAACGGACTACCAACATCACGAGAATCACTTCGAAGGTAGCAGAAAGTCCACAACGACCAGACTGCAGTGAGCCCGCCGTCCTTCAGTGCTGCCCTTTGTCTCACTGAAGCCATGGTGGATGATGGTCTGGTCGTGTGCAAGAGCAAACTGGCTGAAGAGGGATCCTGAAGGAAATACAGTCAGCTGAAGCAGGCCGGAGCAACCATCGCAGGCTGTGGTGACGTGGTTGGTGCGGTGATGTGGGCGGTGATGTGGACAGGCCACCTGGAGGTAAAGGTTGGCCCCCACTGATATCAGGAAGCCAGTGCTTGCCGTAAACAAACTGTCCCTGCACATGAAGGACCTGCTTCTGGTATATTCCGACTGAATCCCGAAATAACACCCAAAATGTATCACAAGAGCAGAATCACATGAAAGTGTAACATTGAATTCCTTAAGTTGAATTTCATTGGCTTGCGAGCTGCAGCTGGAACCGGCTTGTCTGCAGTCACCAGTATCCTAATCAGATTGGCCCAGAGATAAACGGCCCGAAAATACATTTAAAGAGTTATTTTCCCACGTTGCGTTCATGATTTTTTGACCAATGTTAAATAATTAAGAGAAGTGGCCATTTGACCCGATCCGTGTCGTTCACGCATATGCAGGTTATGCAGGACTACAAACAAACGGAACGTTTTCACAGCGTACTGATAAAGCGCTGTTTTATGCTAATTTTTATGACATTTTCCAAAACCCCGGTACTAAGCCCATTTTGCAGTGAAAAGCGCTTCGCCGTCCGACGGCATGGACGGGGGACTGAGTAACATTCCTAACATAATGTGCTTCTGTCGTTGCAGATTAAGGTGCGTCCTTAAAACAATTAAGTCGATAATAATAAATTAAAAAACAATTAAGGTGATAGATTGAGTGTATTGATTTGAAGGAAAAACACACAAACCTCCGTGATTAAAAACTGAACGTAGTTACTTAGAATGGACTGAGAAACGTATCTGTTTTAACCGGCCCGCTAAGCGCGTGGATAAATATCACACACGATGCAGTTTCATAAGCAGCGATGCAGCGACAGTACAAGCACAACAGCTGCAGTGCAGCAGCACGAGCTGTAGCACAAGGAGCAGCGCGCTGCGCGAGATCGCCGAGCTCCAGTGGCGCAATCGGTTAGCGCGCGGTACTTATACAGCAGTGCAAGCGAAGCAATGCCGAGGTTGTGAGTTCGAGCCTCACCTGGAGCAGTACATTTTAGAGGACGGTTGGGGGCCTGGGGACATTGGAGAGCGATCTGGGGCCGGGGAGGGGAAATGCCGCGGATTGGTCGAGGGAGAAGCACGAAGCCCGGAAAAGCCGTGGTCCGAACCGTGTGAATGTCCCCCGACGGCGAGGAGTGAGCACGTCCCAGCTCTACAGTGCGAATATTGGTTAGATTAGGATAAAAGAAATCTAAAGACACACATCTACCTTTAAAATAACACAATGGCTTCTGTAAAAATACAGTATAAATATGTACGTACAATACGACTAACCATGTACTGGAAATAGAAACTTATTTTTCAGGGTTTAATAATTAATCCTCCTCTCCACTTGTCTCAGTGAAGTCACAACAAAAACAACAAGTCATAATAATAATTAATAATAATAATAATAAGAAGATATGCATAACTTAGCGACGGTAGAACCACCCTGAAGACTAAAGGGAATTTGAATGTAGTTCATTCGGACGGCCGAAAGGAGGAGCTTTACCACAACTAATGCGAAATACTGCATGTGACAGTTTTGGTACAAGGTCTTCCCTTCATAAACCAGCGGGTGGCGCTACAAGTATACTCTACAGTAAGTATTAAAACAGATTCGTATTGCAAGTTATAAGATTATATCCTTGACGTTTCTATTTGCTTTGTTTGAACAATTTACTGGAATGGAGTATGTCTCTGCATACCTTATTATTAATTTGAATAATTATTAATAAATAATGGGTATATCGATTTATAACTAAATGAGCGAGGTGTAAAGTCAAATTATTTAACTTGGATAGTTTGATGGGTGTATGGTGTGTGTGTGTGTGTGTGTGTGTGTATGTTTGTTATATGATGGTTTGAAAAAGCGAGTATGGTTGAGAGTGACTCTATTTTGTTGCTGTTTTCCCCCATGATTCTCCTATAATACTGAAGTTTTGCAAAATAAACGGTGCAGACTGATTTCCATTAGAAGTCAAATACAAATACAAAGTTGATTTCACCAGGAAAAAGACGATTCTGACAAAAAATAAAGTGCTTCCCAATGGCGATGATCAGTGATGCGGGTTTTGACAGGCGAGCTATATCGCAGTTTCTTGTCTAAATGCAGATCTGCAGTTACACATATTTCCTTAGCGATGTCATGCCTCCCGAGGCTCTTGCTGCAAAGGCGTCATTCAGCAGAAACTCAGCCGCAGGCTCTGTGTAAACACAGCGTACTGAGAGTCAAAACGTGTTTATGCTTAAAGCTGAGCAACCAGGCTGGGGGACAGTAAGTAACTTGAAAGAGGCTCCGTACTTGCAAGAAAGTACGAAAATGACAACAAGAAGAGCTAACAGGCTAGTTTGTGTCATAGGCCTATGTGTAATCAGCTGTATTGGGGGTGAACTGTAAGGAAAAAAATAAAGCCTTTTTATTCATACTGTAGAGGTAATATAGGCCTAAGGCAGGTATATCTCTCTCTCTTTCTGTTTTAAAACATCCCTTTGAATTTTAAACAGTCATTCAATATGGTATCTATGAGTGTGCATGTGTTATATAATGGCCGGCAGCCCTGAGCTGTTCCTTTCGCCTTGCGAAATCGGAATGGGTAATTCCCTTCTTCAGCTGCTCCACGTCTAGCCTTTCTCTAGGGTCCTTCCCACGCCCCGATAGCTAATTGTACCAATTCAAGGCAAAGAATTCTGCTTACTGCTTCTCTGCTTACTTTCCGGGATTACAGTGACACATCACACATAATATTAGTTTTGATTTTGTTGTCACACCCAGAACTACATAAAAATGACAACAGGAAGTTACAGGCAGAAAGGTGGGGGAATAAGGAATACATTTTAATACAGTCCAGAACTGGTGGAAAAATAATGTTTTCAAATTCTTAAAAGCTGGTTTCACTTAGAACTTTTCCCCCCCACCCCAGTTATCTAGATATCCATTTTGTGAGCCATGGTTTCTGGCTCCGAGGTATACATGATTCCTGTAACTTAGTGACAAGCTTTTACTTGTTTGTGTTCTCGCACTGCTGTGTCATTGTGGTGTCATTAGCATGTCATCACATGTCCCTTCGTCTCTCTGAACGTAAGTTATTGTATTCAGAGAAAAAAAAAGTCACTTTAATGCAATAATACCATAAGAGAAGTGAGAAATGTCTTGGACAGTTGCGTTCCAGATCAAGAAGTTGTCCATTAGTCATTGCGTGATGACACATCGGGCCCGAAATGCTGGGAGCGGTTTACCTTACCGGACCTCTGGGATAAAGAATGAGATATCGTGTGATTGTTGTATTGCCATTAATCTAAAACAGAAGGTGTGAGATGCTTGTGGATTGAGTGGGGCTGCTTAGGGACTGCATCAGAGCCACCAGTGGCCCTTTGCTGGGACGAGCCGCGCTGACCACGGTGTTACTGGAAGGACTGGGTCGTGGAGGAATGGAACAGCTGATCAGCTACAGGATGGGGTACTGGGGTAAAAAGTTTTACTCTTCTGTTTTTCGCGAGGTGGTTTTGTCAGGGCCCTATAGCTATTGCTTATGCATTAATCTGCCCCTGGTTGTTAGTAAACATGGCTGAATGATAACAATCAGCATGCCGGGAGCACCTCTGCAAGTGCACTTTCTGCTCATCCTCACGCTGTGACCGTGAGATCAAAGTGGAGTTTATGCTGCGTGAGATAAACGAGATGAGATTCTCATCGAGTTGAAAAGGAAGCTGAGGAGACGACGTCGCAGTGAGGAACTCTCCTGGAAGCAGCCGCCCGGCGTGTCCCCCCGAGGCGCAGCGAGGGCTCACACTCATCGCTGGAAAATGGGGAGCTGAGACGGAAAAAAGGAGAGCAATGGAAATAGCTGAGATGGAGAAAGGTGACAGGGTGCGCACGTCTGCGCACGAAGGAGCCAAACGAAATGCAAAACACGTGTGTGCAACTTTATGAAGAAATAAGCATGTTAAGCATACATATTACAAACAAATGTTCATCAAAAATATTCCAAATTAGCCACACAGTGACTCATTCTCCTCCTTCCTTGAAGCAGGGACCACGTCACACAAGTCCCACAACCAAAACTGTCCGGTTCACCTAGTTACAGGTCTGGGCTCTTTGGCCGAGCACCATGGGGTACGTGCACTGTGCTGTAATGTGGAGGGCCCTGTGTGTGTGTGTGTGTGTGTGTGTGTGTGTGTGTACGTGATCGCATGACAACAGCAGTGCTGAGCAAAAGCAAAACAAAAAAGCTAGAGGTGGCACGCTCGTGTCACAGAGCATCTCCGAAAAGCGCAATCTCTGGATCTGTGATCGCTGTGGCGATGGCTGTGTGGCCGCGGCACATTCTTAAAGGTGCATTCCCCAGGGGAAGCAGGCTGAGCGCAGTTGATAGGCTGATAGGTGTGGTGCGGGGGGTGGATGATGGTGACCTGAAGCAGAAGAGTGATTTCAGGACCGCTGGCCTCACACGAGAACAAAGTGAGCACGTGCAAAGAAGCTGAAGCCAAACAGACGCTTAGGGCCAGTTCAGGGGCAGCTGGCTTCGCGAAAAGCCACTTTGAAACTGTAAGGCCTCAACCTGCCTGCTCCATACAGACAGAGAGATAGACAGGCAGAGAGATAGACAGGCAGAGAAATAGACAGAGATAGGCAGGCAAACGGATAGACAGACAGAAAAAGACAAACAGACAGACAGAGATAGACAGGCAAACAGACAGATAGACAGAAAGAGATAGACAGATAGACAGAGATAGACAGGCAAACAGACAGATAGACAGAGATAGAAAGGCAAACAGACAGTGATAGACAGTCCAACAGACAGAGAGACAAAAACACAGACCAACAGAGAAACAGACAGACACACAGAGAAACAGACAGAGGTAGAGAGACAGATAGACAGAGACACAGAGACAGACAGAGAGAGACTCTGACAGACAGACAGATTGATGCAGGTGAAAGTGTCGTACACAGAGTAATGCTTCTGTGTGTCGTCGTGGGGAATTCCCTCTAACTCACGCTTATTTATATTTAAAGATCCTTAACCCCAAACCACCAGAGACTGAGAAACAGAAGACAGGTCATGCCAAACGAAAACCTTTCTCAAACCTTTTCTCAACCTTTTCTCCACAAAATGCTTAAGAAACATCAGTCAATCCTTCTCAAAACATATGCAGGTACAGACACACACGCACACACACGTGCAGACAGTTACACGAATACACACACATTAACATATGAAAAGTTACAGGTATACATGCACATTCTGAGGTATACATGCACATTCTGAGGTATACATATCACACTCATACCTGTGTGTGCTTTGAGTGCGATCAGGCTGGGACTCTGATGGACTGTGTCCTGATCCTGAAAGTGGACATCTGTCTGAGTGTCTATACTGCGCCTTCCTCGCCTTCTTCCTGCAGGATCACTGTCTTTCTGGACATGTGGGATGAGTTTCCATGGTAACCTGCATGTAAAGGGGAGACTGGACAGGGCAGGAGTATTGTGGGATTTTTATGGGGGCAGTTACTCAGTTTCCCTCCATCCCTGCCGCCGATACGTGAACTAAGCCTTGACCTCTGACCCCGCTTGTGGATGAGGCCTGTTCTGATAATCCATTGTGCCATCACTCCAGTGCAGAGCTAAATGATGACTACAACCCAGACGC